TGCCAGCACTGCAATAAACAGGATGTGTTTGCTCACAACACCAGGGGTGGAAGGAGACTTCCCTGTGGCTTGGAGTCCTAATTCCCACTAGCAGCAACCCAGACTTCCCTGGATTACAAATCTGACCTGCACCTCCCTGGTGGAGATTTCAGAGAGGAAACTGGAGCTCAGTAATAACATTTTATGCTTGGAAAGCAACCAAAGCTACAGTGCAAAAAATTCACGAGGAAACATTTTCATAGGAGAACAGAAAGTACTCATGGAAAGCTCAAGTTAATTATCACTTAATTGGTTTCTTGCACTTCACAGGCAGCATTTGGTGTCATGGTATTTCCCTCAGCAGCACTTTTGAAGGACTGAGCCCATTTCTTTGCCTGCAGACAGGATCTGCTCAGTGCTGATCCACTGCTCAGGCAGAGGCACACAGTGTTGTTTCTAACCCAAGTATCACACATTTTAATATTCAGCTACAGCAGGTCTAACCTGTGAACCTTCCACCTTCTTCTCCATTTTCTGAAGTAATTTCTTCTTGTATCATGTTTATATTCTTGATTAATTTTCTTGACTTTTTATTCCAGGACATGCCTGTGAACCCTCTACACTCTTCAAATATTTCTTTCCTAAGATATCCTTGGCTCAGTGAGCCTCATCCAAAGCTGAGGACATCTGTGCTGTGACCTGATGGCCCTAAAATACATTTAACAGCCTTAGCCTCACTGATCTTTTCACAGTGCAGTGTCAGATCTCTGATGGCAAATAACCGACTCTCAGCAGTGAAAACTGTACCCTTAATGTCTGGTTGAGAAAGGATGACACACTGTTTTTGGATTTCAGTGCATTAGCACTGCCACAGAGACAGAACAGGCTGCAGTACAATAAAACACAACGTAGCATTCATCAGAGAGCCTCAGCCGAGCTGAGAGGTGGCTCATGCCGTGACCCTGAGGGTGAGTGTGCCCCTACCTCTGCAGCAGGCTGATGTAGGTGAGGAAGGTCTCTCCATTCTCATAGAGGATGTACAGGGGGTATCCCAGCACCTCCTCGCTCCCCCGCTGCCCCAGGACGTGCTTTGGCACCGGCACCTGCGGCCCGAAGTCGAAGGCCACGGCTGTCTCCCCCAGCGAGGCTGTGTAGGCTCTCCTGGATGGGGCAGAAGGACAGCTACAGCACTCTGGGATGGCACTGTTAGACACCCTCAAGAGTCTCCTTTCCAGCTAGGCCAAGGGGGAAATAAAAAGATGATCTGTTTTCTGCACTTCTCACTCAAAAAGCCCTCCTTAACCCCATCGTAAAGGCAATGTGGGTTTTCCAAACTGCTACTCTGGCGAATGCTTGACTGCACAGTTTGTCACTTTGTCTTAGAAGGAGAGGGGAGAGAGGAGAGGGACAGGAAGAAAATGGAAAGGGGAGAGAAGAAGTTGGAGAGAAGAAAAAGGGGAGAGGGAGGGAGAGGAGAAAGAAAAGTGCAAGGAAGAAGTCTTAGCACTGAAGAATTCCTATCAGATTTTCAGGTAGATTTATCACTTATTCATTAAAAACACCACTGAGAAAAGAGAGCCCATTCTGCAAAGGCATTTCAAAGTCCAAGAAGCCACACCAACCCTTTTTTGATTGTAAGAGTCTCCTCCTCGGTGTCCGAGAGCGTGATGATTTTGATGGGTGTCTGAGGCACCTTCAGACTGTAAAACCTGGAGGGAAGAAACAGCAGCTGTGTTCATTCTGCTGGCAGTGCTGCACATTCCCTGCTGAGGGAATGCCAGCTGCTCTCAGACTGAAGTAATTTTTACTGGTAACCCTGGTAAGAACGGCAGGATGCAAATACGTAACGACAAATTAAGGATATGAGAAAAAAACAACAACAAACCCACTTAAAATACCTTATAGTGTTATCTGAAGTCAAGAGCACGATGTGGGGCTCCAAGGTGTCACAGGGGTACCAGGCTGCATGCTTTAAAGTCAGGGATGTTGAGCTGGTGAAGAACCTTTCTGCAATAGGAATGGTGCTGGAATACAGAGCAGAAATGTGCACTGTTATCAGAAACACACAAGTTACTTCTCGGGGGAAGTGGGGGCAAGAGGAGCTAAAGACACAAAAGGTTTCGAAGTCTTTATCTGTGCTGTTCTGAAAGTTGGAGGGTCAGTTTTAACTTGAAGCTCTTTGTTATTTCCACCCAGACATGTGCTTTTGGCTACCACCACCCAGAGAAGCTGTGGCTGCCCCATCCCTGGAAGTGTCCCAGGCCAGGTTGGACGGAACTTGGAGCAACCTGGGATAGTGGAAGGTGTTGGGATGGAACTGGATGGCCTTTAAGGTCCCTTCCAACCCAAACCATTCTGTGATTCTATGAAAGGCTAGAGAATACTACAGAGGAGCCCTTTGCTCCTCATCAACTGCAACAAGTTTAGAAGGTCATTTATTTGGGTCACTTGACAACCAGCAATCTCCTGAGCCAAAATAACTTCATCTATGAGTCCCTACAACCCTGACACAACCAGTGTCTTCCACTGGTGTTTTCTGTATCTGTCTGACCCCAAGAAAGGGATGCTGTGGATGAACAGCAGCAGGACAAGGACAAGAGTGTCATTAACCACCTGAGGTCTCACCCACCTACAGTTCACCATGGATTTCCCACCTTCAAACTCGGAATTCTTCCCCCAGCGCTTGGGCAGCTCCAGCACCATGAGCCCCTTGGTGCCGATGAGCGCCACATGGTGCTGGGCCGGGCTCAGCAGCACCTGGTGCACCTCAAAGAGGGGCGGGTTGATGCACAGGAGGGTCTGAAAGCATCAGCGTCACAGTTAACACCGAGCCACCCGAAGCGCCTGCAGAAGCAGGGCACATCTGTATTTCGGGTGGGGAGCTCCACGGCACGGAACGAGCACAGCCCGGCTCCACGGCCGCGGGGTCGCTGAGGGCAGACCCACCGACGGTGGGCCGGGGGGTGATGAACCGGCCGGGGGCCCTCAGGGGCCGGTCCCCTCAGCCCTGCAATGGACATGGACCCCAACCCCTCACTCCCTGA